CCCCAAAACCCCAAAACCCCGTATTGCTAGAAATGCTTTTTGAAAAAGTTTTAATAAATAAATTGGATGATTTATATATATTGACGATTAAAACTAGAGTGTCGTTAATCTATCTAGACTTGAATGAATAGAAAGTTAAAGTTAATTTAATCAGTCAGTATCTAAGAACAATAAGCATCCAATTAAGACTGCTCCAAGAATGAAAGCTATGAGTTTGAACCATCTGTTGCCTGGCATGGAGAACTCTTCAACAGTTAACTCTGAACAAGACACATAGATAAAGGTACCACCAGCCAGTGATACAAAGATAATGTTAACTAGCTTTGGTGCGTCATTAAGAATAAGTCCGAGAGATGTACCAACTGGGGTGGCAAACGCGAATAAAATAATGAATTTGAGGAGTTGTCTAAACTCTCCAAAGGACTTTTAGAGAGCAATACTGATTGACATAGCCTCAGCGAACTTATGAATCAAAATAGAGAGCATGAGGTTGACTGCATTTGGCAAGTTATTCATTAGACCAAAAGCGATTCCTTCAAACAAGGCATGCATACTCAGAGCAATCATTAGCATAAATGGAGTGAAATTGCACTTAGCAGGTTTCTCATCACCATTGTGTGACTCTGCATGGGTCTGCGCATCAACTTGAGATTTAGTGAGATTAATGTTTGCCTTGTCAACAAACAGTTCGTTCTATTCGTGGGTGCCTTAGCCTGCATTAGACTTCTTAATGCCTGATTTCTGAACTGCACTTGACATCCTGACAGCAAACTGATCAGCTCTTGAAAGATAATTCTTAATGGTCATATTGATGTCTTCTTGTTCTTAGATCATACTTTTCTTGACGTTTCCACCTGACTTGATATCTTCTTCAGCTCTGATCATTGACTTCTTAATACCGTTCACTAATTTTGCTGTGGCAGGATCCATGTATTCCTTCTAAGGCTTACCATGATTGTGTCCGTGTTTATTTTCTCCATGTTTATGTTCTCCGTGTTTGTGATCGTGATGGTCGTGATTATCCTCATGAGATCCATGAGAGTGAGTAACTTCGCTATGGCCATGACCATGTCCGTGCCCGTGTCCTTGACCGCCATGGCCGTGATCGAAAAGAGCATGAGAGTCAAACATTACTTTGTCGACTAAGAGGATGAAAGTATAACCACAAAATACAAGTATAAATGGAAGAGGCACTGGTGGGTCTTCAGGCTTCCCTTCGCTATCTTTGTGATCATCTCCCCAATACTCATTGTAATCTCTAGCAGCCTCTGGCAATATATGAATCAATGCAATAGCCAAGAACAAACCACCACTGAATGCATTAGCGAGTCCGAGGAATCTAGGACTCTCTTTACATCTCTTTACCTTTACTGGAAGTATTCCAAAAACGACTGCAATGGCGAACACAACAAAGATGAACACAATCTTAATAATAAGTAGCGTTTGCTTATCTTTTTCGCTGGGATCTCCCTCAGCTGCAAGCTAGCTAAAATCGTATAGTTTTTCAATTGCCTAACTACTGTCGCTAGTAGTATAAACTTCTACTCCACTCATATATCCTATTTATTATATTATTTATATAATCAAGCTTATTTGTTATAAGACTAAATATATCTATCATTTCAATCAGTACTCATCTCTTTATCACATATGGGGTTTTGGGGTTTTGGGGTTTTGGGGTTTTGGGG